GTAGCACCAGTGTACATAGCACAACATCCACTGTTAAAATGACATACATATACTCTCCATAAATCCATGGGAACACACACACACACGCACACACACACACACACACACACACACACACACACACACACACACACACACATTCACATAACATTAAAAGTTGAAGGATGGAACACCTGGATTTGGGACACATAGCAAACACAAATAGCACCAAACACAGTGGGACATCACCCTTAAGGCTAGAGGTCAGGGTAATAAAGCTAACACACACACATACACACACAAATATACTGCAGCAGAGTGTTAATCCTGGTGGCCCGTCTGAAATGAAAAAGCATTAAAAGGTCTCTTCCACTTTACAAACTGCAGAGCTGTCAGAACCCTTTGACCGCTCTAATATGGCCAACAGATGGATGAGGGTTACTACAAAAACTGGAGAGACAGAGAGTATACAAGGACATAAAAAGAAACATAGTCAGAAACAAAGACCAAGAGTGAGATGAAAAAGGGTCAGGAAACAGAGGAGACCAGAGGAGAGGAGAAAGAAGCAGACACGTAAGAGAAGGACAAATGGATAGATAACTCAGAGAGACATATAAACCCTTTGGATAAGCATGTGGATGTAAACAAACAAAAAAGCAGTGCAATCCAGAGAGAAAGAGAGACAGACATACAGAGAAAGAAAGAAAGATTATTACATTTTAATCTAATTTACATATAAATTCTCTTTCCCTAAATTGTTTTAGACTCTTGAATTCTTGGCAACATAAGTGCACTGTTACTTGTCATGCCAGTAAAGTATGCATCCAAAGGAAAAGAGAAGGGGGAGGAATGGGGAGAGAGAGGAATGAGGAGAGCAAGAAAGCTGGAGAGAGAAAGAAAGAGAGAAAGATAAAAGGTAGAAGCAAACCTCTGCAGTGCTCCTGGATGTTTGCCCAGTAATCTATCTCCATCACATCACACTCTCTAATTAAAAGTCTTTCTAGTTATCATATGCTGCTGCATGCGCTGAGCCAGACAATGAATCCATCTTTCTTTTCTGTCGTTTGTCAGTTCAGTCTATCACAAACGCTAATTCAGACACTCGCTTCATCATTAATGCTCATTTAGCATTGCACACACACACGCTTCTTCATCATTGTTCATTTAGCTGCTGTTGAAGCATCAATGCTTATTAGGCATTAACGCTACAGTCAGCTTCAAAGTGCTGCCACACTCAGAACTAGTCAGATAGAAGACTGCAACACACAGACACACACAGAAAGTTTTCTTCGTAGAGTGTTTTCATTGGCTTTGGCAGCTAAATGCTCCTGTACTACAACTAACCCAACCTCAACAATAACCTGAAGAAAAAGCAAGCACAAGGTATATCTTCACATTTTATAGCTAGTGATTAACACGATAAACGTTGTCATACGATGTATACCTGAAAACAGTCACACACTTGGGATTACATGGCAATTCAATTTTTTAAAGTTGGCTAGCCATTCAAAAAAGTAGTGGACTACTTTTGAATAACTAGTAGGGATGAGTTAGAATGCTTGAATATTATGAAATTTCATAAAAGTTTAAAAATCAAATAGTAAATTAGGATGTTAGATGTGCAAATAAGTTTGTCACTAGCATAATATGCTCTAAGAATCATGTATGACCTCTGGTTTCTCTGACCAAACTCTGGCTAACTCTTTTTAAGCTGAAAGGCATGCTATGAAGTACAACATGGCTAGGCTAAAAAAGGTTTGCTGAGGTGAAAACAGATGATTTTGTCCATTTATCTCAAAGACCTTAGATTGACACCTTTTTCTGTGTAAATTTCAAGCCACTTATCACGTTCTATGGATTTGTGGTCTGGGTTTAAAGTAGTACAGTAATGTCCGTGGTTACTGTCTCCTGGCACATCCAGTGTGCAGGACCCTGTAGTGTGAAGGGGAGGTTAATACTTGATTATTTTTTTAATAATTCTTTAAAAATTCAAATATCATATTTGACCGAAATGCCCATCCCTAATAACTAGTTGCGAGTATCTTGCTTTACGGGCTAGTGGAAGCTGTCGTATTTTGAGATGGGTATGTATAGCAGAAGAATTTCTGTTGTAACTAGCCTCTCAGACGAACTGACATATATTGTATGCTAAGATTACTTTGCCTCTCAAACATGACTACCCACATTTCTGTGCACCTGTTTTTTATCAGTGTAATAGGAGACAAACGTTTGATTATCATCAATGCTTGCAGGTCACCAGTGTTACCATATCAACAGACCATGACAAACAAGCCTTTCAGTGCAAGACGTAGTCATTACGGCATCTCACATTTAAAAGTTATTCAAGAGTTTTTTAAAGGGCTTATTGGCAAGCAAACAAGAAATTCTCTCGTTTGCAGACAAGCATTTTGTTTCAGTCAAGTCTATTCTTGTTTTAGGCCCATTTTGGTTTGCATGTTGGTCAAATGGCCTCTTCCTGTTAAACGTAGGTGCTTCTTGGCCACACTGAGTGCTACAAACTGAAACCTACTTGAATTTCTATCTTGCAGGACTATATTTCAGTGCAGTATTACACAACTATGAAAGTATATCAGTAGTAAAATAATAAAGAAAATGCAATATGCAAAATGGCCATGTATTCCAATGTTTGAATTTAAATTCTCACTCTTATATGCAATGTTGGGCTCAAAATTAAAATTAAAATTCAATATGGCCATTTTAATTAGCCATTTGGTGTGCTAGTGTTGACATTTAATTTAGAGTTAGACACTTCATAAGTAGCTTTATTTAAATTAAAATTTATTCATGTGATTATGTAATAATGGTGTCAACATAATAATTTAAATGTAATTTACCTTATATGCATTTGCACTCTCTTATAACACATTTGAAATTGCATTATCAAAGAGAGCACCAAATTAGAAAGATGGCAAAATTCTGTTGTATAAAGGGGAAACAGCAACTCTTCTCTTTGAAATTACATATTTATGCCTACTGTGTGCGTTCTGTGGCAAAACGGTTTTGATAATGCATTCGACTCGATTGAATTTTCATTTCATAGACCCTCACGTACCAATCATACTATCAGGTCACTACCAAAAGCATGCTCAGTGGAGCATGGCATCCAAGAGTTTGTAGCTATCCTTACATTAGTAGCTGTAAGTTACGCAGAGCAATAAATCCACTGTTCTTCTGGAAAGATCATCATGATCTGTGGCCCTGATAACATCCTCAAAACATCCTCTGAATGTTGCAGTTAAAACATTCATAGGAATGTTCCCTGTGTGTCAGAATTACTGCTGTTTGTGACAGACCCAAGATATGACATTTATTTAGAGACCCCATGGCAGAATTCAGCTAAAATACGGCACGGTTCCGACAAGGTACAGTGGCTGTTTACAACTTAATAATTTTATGAGTTTATGATTGGTAACACATAAGGTGGAACACAACAATATATCCATATCTGATGGTCACTGGATTTATCTCTATCTGCCGCATCTGTAGCCTAAGGTTACAATAATTTCAACTCGACCATTAAAACAAAGAAATCTGCCACTTGGTCGATTAAAGATTCTTCGGGTGTCATGTGTAAAGACATAGTAAGCATCATAACTGGATTTATTGCTCTGTATCATCCTATCTTCTAACGTAAGATCGGCGCCATGGTCCAGATGAAGCTATTCCCACTGAGCATGCTGTTGAAAGTCTGTGAAAATGAAAATGCAATCGGGTCAAATGCATTTTCAAAACAATCTTGCCACAGAATCAAATGTAAAACATTAGAAATGTTTTACATTTGAATTTTTCCTTCTTTCTAGCTTAGCATTATCTTTGATAATGTAATTTCAACTGCATTATTACAGGGCACATAAGATTGAAAATGCATATATACATTTTAATTGTTATTTTGACACCATTACTGCATAAATATATGGATATAACTATGCAATACTAGAAATATATTTTAATTTAAATAAACTTTCATAGCTACTTATAAACCATCTAAATCTCTGTGTAAATGAAATGTCAACTCTAGTATACCAAGTGGCACATCAAAATTGCAAAACTGAATTTGAATTTTAATTTTGAGTCTAAAATTGCACACAAGTGTTTAAATTAAAAAATATTTGCCATTTTACAAATTACATCTTAATTTTAATTTTGCTACTGATTTGCTTCCATACATAACTTATAGTTGATAGTGGAATTGGTTTCATCCAGAAACTAACAGGAAAAAATAAAAGTATTTATTGCTTTACGTTTAGAAGGAAAACACAGCTTTCTGGACTCCATACTTCCATACTTTCCGCCACCATGTTTCATTACTACAATTGAGGCTAATGAGCTTTTGTTTACCACCATTTGTATAAGTGCAATCTGCATGCCCCATGTCTCATCATCACACATGCCCTAAACCACTGTCAGAGTTATCTATAAAAACAGACGAAAGTACAAACAAAATGTAGGCATCAAGATGGCTGCTACAACTGTTTTAACCACTGCTACATATTTTGTCCATTTTTATAGATAACAGTACGTCACACAGTGTCAGATACCACATAATCTATTTGAGATTACTTACCTCGAAAATTTGCCACAAGTGTGTGATGATTTAGGCATGCAGTTTGCATGATGTGAACTGGGGTACATAAGTTTCCATTACTTGTTAGCTACATTAGCCTCATATCTTCACTGCAAAACTAAGTTGTGGAAATTGTGGGAATGGATTTTCCACTGAACTACCGCTTTAAGACTCACTGCAAAATAATAAAGACATAATGTTGACGTGACAATGTGGCACTCTAAGGGGACTCAAGTTCCCAGAATGCTTTGCTTTCCCAGTAGGACATGAGGCAGCTGCAGCTAAGTCCCTCTTCCAGGCACTATTACACACAGGATTTGGTGAAACTTTTTGTTGATAAACAACCAAGCTGCAGCCTAACTTTTAATTATGCCCAACAACCATGACAACTCTCACACTCAAAACCACAACTAGTACTTGCGCAACAAACACTCACTGGGAGTAGAGCATGCGGGAGCGGACAATGAATTTGAAGATGTATTCGAGGGCCTTCAGAGTGCGAAGAATTGGCTCACATGCCTCACCACGGCTGGACACATCCAGATACGTCTTCAACACTGACATCAGCTTTCTACGGGAGAGACAGAGAGAGAGTGCCATTTTTCAGTTCAGCTCAACAGTGTGTATTATCATGTAAAGTTACATTATTGTCAAAGCAATTAACAAGAAATAAGAGAAAACAGGGAAAACAGAACAGAACAATAGAGGACATGATTAGTCGATCATTTAAATGCGTCACATTTTTCATATGTGTGTTCCGGATATCAAATATGTCTTTAACGCTGACATTACTGTACTCTTGTGACAGAGTATGCATGTAAAAATGCATATTCATCAGAAGGGCAATTCATTTATATCTTCTTGCCCCAAGAGATGTTCTTCTCTCTCATAATACTGCAGTTGCTCTAACAGGATTAAACAATAACATTAAAGTACTGTATAAATCCCCAGACACACACACACACACACACACCGCCTCCCTGCTGTATAAACAGAGAGGATGTATTACTCTGCACTCTGATGTAACATGCATTATTTAGATGTTGTTAACCTATTTCCTTTTAATGGAGGATTTTAGGTGGATTTTGTTCATGTGGAGCAGAGTTTTATGAAATTTATAATGATGTCCTTAGCTCTGTTTATGACATTTAGCCGAAGGCCATGATTCATGCTGTCTCTCTTTCTTTCACTTTCCCTCTGTCTTTCTCCCCTTCTCTCTTTCTCAAAATAGAGAGAATGAGGGAAAATAGAAAGGAACAAGTGTAAAAACAGAGGGCACTGCAGATGACACCTGTCAAATATGTTAGACCTGAAAAAATCTCCTAAACATGCACTCACACATACATGCTCACACACTCACACAAATACTGCACATTCTACAGCCTGTCAAAGAAAGAAAAATCATTACTGCTAATTCTATTGATTGGCAGTAATGATGTAATATGGTGCAGAAGTCAAAGACCACCCATTATATATTTCATTTCCACTCAAAATGGCCATTAGGTACAAGTACATACAGAAAAGTCTTCCGACACTAAATATAATGTCTAATATCTAAATATAATATCTAAATTTTCAGTATTAAGTGTGTTTACCCTTTGCCTTTATTACAACTTCCACTCTTTTTGGGAGGCTTCCTTTCAGTTTTTCAAAGAAACTTGCAGGGATATATTTCCACACATCCGTCTTCAGTTCAGTCTTAGCAGTTGGTTGCATTTTCTGCTCCTCAAGTCCAAGTAATCCCAAACACATTCAGTGATGCTGAGGTCTAAACTCTTTGGTGGTCAGTCCATTGTTCTGAGAAAACCACCAGCTTCTTTGACTTTTCTTATTTTTTGTGTATTTCCTTTTCTTAGTAACAGCCACACATCCTTTCCGAGTTGTCTTTTCACAGTGGAAGGATGGAAATAAACACCTGTAGATTTTTTGAGAACTGCATAGCTGTATGAGTTCCCTTTTCTCTGTATCTCTGAATCACTTTTTTAATTCCAGTTTTGGAAACTTTGTTTTTTCACTTATTTTCCTTTGACCTTCCCCATTCAAGTAGATCATCATATATCTAAGATAGATTTCGAAATATTTCCTAAAAAAATAACAATTGGCCATTTTGATTGGAAACAGAATAAATAAAGGGTGGTCTATGACTTTTTCCACAGTAAGGTATATGTATACATGTAACTAGGGCTGTGTTACAATCCATCATATTAAAATAAGCAGTTTTTAAAAATAAATTAAGCAATATATGATAATCACTAAAACAATAACTGAACAATACCAAACCATGCACAGCCTTTCAAATGTAGATTCTAAAATACTTCACAGTGAAAAGATAAACTAGGAAGCCTTTAATAAGACTTCAATAAAAAAATCTATAAAAACACTGTAACGAAAAATGCATATTAATGAATCTGTTTCTTACTGTAAGAGAAAGCAGTGAGAGAATTTGAAATATGCATTATCATCATGCAGACTGCCAACTAAACATTGCCAGTGCACTGAGATGGCACATTTTAATAGACATTTTTTTAATTGAGTGAATGAATTTTTGACATCCCTACATGTAACACACAGTGAAACAGACATGATTGCTTCTAATCTAGTAGAGTAGGTCACTCTCATTAATCAGAAATGATTTATAAGCCTCACAAAGCTTTACAAGCATTATAAAAGCACCAGAAAAAAAGGAAAAGCAACAGAAACCTTTTTCGAGAGGTAAAGGAATATGTCTAAAAGAGCTTAATTTAAACCTTATATGTACAAACAGAAAGATTTGTGTCTTTCTTTGTGTGTGTATTTGAAATATCTTTACTTACTTGTAAGCCAGAGTAGCACTAAAATGCTGTTTAATGTAAGCTTCCAACACAGTGTTAAAGTGCTGAAACTTCCTGTCTGCAATCAGTCCTATGATATAAATCTGACAGAGAGAGAAAGAGAGAGAGACAAGGAGAACGAGAGTAAGAAGAAGAGACAGTGAGACAAACAGAGATTGTGAGAGAAAAGAAAGAGAGTTAGAGACAGAGAGAACAAAGAGAAAGAGAGGGAGTTAGACAGGTATGGACAGGAGGAGCATCAAAGAAATATTTGGTAAGGGAAATAAAAACTTTATTCAATTTAATAAAGGTCTAGCAGCACATTTGTGGGTTCCTTACCAGGGCGTCAAACACCAGTATGTCATAGTCATCCGTCTGAGAGTGCTCCATCATGATGTTAAACAGAGCATCGAGTGTGTCCTGTAGAAACTGTATTCACACACATACACACACACATACGGTTAAGAATACAATTGTAAGCAGAGGTAACAAAGAGGTTACTCTAACAACATACACAAAAACACAAAATACAAACCCCTACACCCGTCTAACACTCCAAAAACACACACCTTGACAACCTCCTCTCCATCGATGAGCTTGAGGTCCTGTAGGTTACTTTTGAGCAGTTCAGGCCGAGTTCTCCATTTAAGCAGCCCCAGCAAGCCCACTGCAAAACACACACACACTCATACACATCCTTCTGCTTTTACACCTCAGCTCCAATCTGCTACTTTTCTGGCACTTGTATACGGGTTTTGGTAAAAATTTAATCTACACAATTCTCCCCTTACCCCAAATGTAATCAGCTATGTTTTGTTCTGAAGCTTTGAGGCTAATACACCCTAGCTGGAATGGAAGCTTATATGTCATCATCATTGTGCAAACCTGCTTGCCTAATTCATCATACACCTACATCAAACCAAACATGCTAAGTAACCTCAAACTTGCTAATGTGGTTTCTGGCACTGTATTACATAATGTAATCAATAATATGCAGTGCTTGGCAAAAGTCTTAGGCCATCTGAGAAATGATATGTAAATCTATTTTTCTGGGCAAGAAGCATTTATTTGTTCAAAACCACTAACTAATAAATACAAAAAAATAAACAATACATTGTGATTTCTCATGAGATTGTGTTAGCTTCTCCATTTCCAAGCCTTTGCTTGAGGAAGTCCAGTATTTACGCAGTTACTATCCAGTACCCAGTTCAGTTAATCAGTCCTTTAAATTAGGTGTGTTGTCCATGGAATTTAACCAATCCATGCAATGGCTACATGAAGTGGAGTACATGAAGAATTTAGGAACGAACTGAGTTCTTCTAACTGTATTTCTCTAACCAATATATTAATAACCTTTTTGAAAACAGAACACTCGTTAATTTTTCTGTATTTATGATTATTTGTATTTATTCTAACATTTTATTGTAAATGTTTACTTGAAAAACTCACTTTCCAACAAGATACATGGTATAAAGCAATTTTCATAGCTGCCTAAGACTAGGTACTATATGTATTTATGTATGTCACATAAAATCAGTAGCAATCAGCAATATTAAATTGTCGCTGTGCAAAGAAAAACAATTATCTCCAAAGTGGCAACTTTATAGGAGAAGGCAAAAACATTCTTTAATTTTAATGTAAGTTAATATAAAGAGATTTTACTCCAAGCAATTTGTAGCATTTCTATTGATCCATTCATCATGACATAAACACACAGCACAAAGGGCAGCTGGTGCGCTTAAAAGATTTAAAAAAAAGTATGTTGAAAAAAATGGAAATACTTGCTTTTTTCTGGACAGCAACGAATTGCTGAATTTTGTGTGCAATTTTGTTCATTCTTAGACATTTTTAGTGTATATCCTAAAGTAAGGACTAACAATCACTTACAGAAGATGACAATATTACAAATGCAGGTATAAGTGTATATGTGTGTGGTTGTGTGTGCGTGTGTGTGTGTCCATATGGGTCCGGCGGAAGCAGTGTGGCATGATTGATGTTTTTGGAAGATTCATTAATGTGATTAACAGGCTTTCTCAAGAACAGCTGTTATAGCACCTGACTGTGAGTGTGTATGTGTGCATGTGAGGGAGTGAGTTGGAGGATTTAAAGATTAAATGTCCATTTCTCAGTGAGAAATGTACAAACCACACTTTTCTCTATCTCTCTCATATTCACACAGATATATAAACACACATACCGTTCTGAGTGAGCTTGGTGGAGCAGACGAGAGTGGATATGGTGAAGCTGTCCCGTGAGCTGACGGACAGGCCGCCTACGCTGCTGTTGTTCCTCATCAATGTGGACCCCTTGTGGACATCAGTGTGACTGCGCTCTGCCGGCAAAGACAGATAGGAGCTCACATCCTCCATGCGTTTACTATCACCCTAAAAGGAGAAAAAAAACACTTATATAAACAACTCACCGCACCGGGCCAGTGTAGCTTTTAAAAGGCCCATATCACATTTTCCTTGCTTTTTTGAAACAAATGAGTTTGATGCAGTATGTAAATACTGTTAAAACTTCAGTTACTACTGTTCAATCCTCAGTACATACACCCTATGTTTGGAAATGGCTCTGTTTTGTTGTTACTTACTACAAATTTAGGGAGGGATATTGGAGAGGAAGATGAAGCTATTTCATTGCAGAAAATTTCAACATGCTTGGAGGAGAATGCTAAGCACTCACTACTACGCAACCATGCAGATTTTCTATCATCTAGTACTTCTCAAAAAAAAGGTTCAAAGGGTTCAAAGTATCCTGCACTATCTGCAGGATGCATATCTGCAATGCTGTAAACTGTTTTGACTGGGTACCCTATGTGAGGAGATGTATTACTGAAAGTAATATGCTCTGTGAATATGTGTGAGTCTAACATCTGACCTTAAACACCATTAGGTCATGTATTCCATCCTTCAGCACTGTCCCATCCTCCTTTCATCAGTCGCACAAACGCCATGGCAAAGTTCTTCTCACTCTTGTCCTTTGCTACAGAGATAAAAAAAATGTAGGAAATACATAGGATAATATAGCATAAAGGATCTATACATACAGACATATAAGTACATTTTTTAACAATGTACGAATATTTACAATAACCTATTGCACTAAATAAACTTTAAATGTTAAAAATACACTTGTTTTCAGAGAACTGAGGAGAACGGTAACTAACAGAGAGGAAGAGAGAAGCTCCTTCTGCTTCATTTAGTCTGATCTTTTGAGCTTGACTGAATCTGACTATAGAAAGATAACATGCTCTGACTTTAGAGCAGAACTTGTGCCTCTTTCACATCAAGCAGCTGCCGTGTTCACGCAGGCTCACAACCTCAGAATCTGAAGGATGTTCAGAGGGTGGTGGAAATGTCATGCTGAGGCAAAACGAAGTTCAGGTAGTAAGAAAGTTCTGTCATTCGATTTATTTCAATTTAATTTATTTAATTCAGCTGAATAATTGAGGAACTACGTGGCAGGTCATTTAGTGTGAGCATGTTCGATGAATTATATAGTGGGAAAGAGAGGTAGATTGGAAGTCGTAAGGGAGAGGAAGGGAGAGAGGATTTACTTTACAGACCTAAAGCAGAATGGACAGAACCACTCTGCATTTCAATACAGTCTTTAACATGCCCTCACTGACTTCACCTCATGACTCAAACTGCATCTGCTATGTTACACAAGTGGCCACATGCAGGACTAAGAGAGGAGGGGACAGTGAGGCACTTATTTTTCTGTAGGAATACACCTGCCCTCAGTTAGTTTGTTATTGGTAACTCTTAGCTTGCTAACTAGCATGCTAGTAAAGTAACAATCAAAGAACAAATCAATAAAAATCATTTAACAACACACATATAACAGACAGAGTAGTTAACTATATAAAAGACAGTTTAAATGTAGTAAATCGAATGTTATAGTTTTAAAACATGAAGTATTTTACAGTACTGTATTGCTCTGGCTTCTAAACAGCTTCGCTGGAATTGGAAAAGAACATGGGGCAGCACTGTGTCGTTAAAGTCTACATTGATGTTGAGGTAACACGTAGGTGTAGGTCAAGTTCATAAAGGTAAATGGCAATTACATAAGCCTTTAAACCTACATAAACCAAAATAAACCTACATAAACATTTATAAGGCTTATTACAATAAAAGGCATTGTCATCAAGGCTGCTTTTGTTAACTTCAGCGTCAAGTTGACGTAACACCTACAGTGCAGTCCAAAAGTCTAAGACCACATTAAAAAAACCACAGTCTGAGACCACATTTCATCTAATCCTGGAAATAAAACAGAACATTATAGAATTAAAAGAAAAAACAAAGAAAAGTTCTGACAAATACAATGAATTATGTGTTCACAACTTTGCATTATTTCTGGATCACTATTTAAATTTCAGCAAATTTGTGTCACTGACCATGTTAATGCTTTTGTACAAAAAGGGCAATTTCTAGTGTTATTTCTTTTATCAAAACTCATGTTCAGATGACTCTCAGGTGGATTTGATCTACTCATCAGGGGCTTTTGTCACTGTTAGTGATCAGAGCTGTGTCAGCTCGAGTGCACGCTGTGTCATTAAAGCAAAAGAGGGCAAACATTTTAAAGCTTCTACTTTTCGCTGATTGTTGTGCTGATAATATCATTTGTAATGAAACATTTTCATTAGTGGTCTCAGACTTTTGGTCCGCACTGTATGTCAAGTGACAGGTTTTTGCTGATATTAGGTGTCATAACACTTTCTGGGGTGAAATGTCATAGTATGTTATGATGATTGACTTTGTAGCTCAGTGTATTTTTCATTTGTCAAACACAATGGTGATTATGTTACAAATATAATGAGTAAGGCTGGCTGCACAATTAAACAAAATTAAGTACTTCTAAAAAGATGCTTTGAAACTTTGTGGTAACACTGAAATGAATGCATTTTCTCTGACCGTTGACCCATTAATTTTTTCACACACTTCTATAACCTAAAATAGCTCAACCAGTTTACACTGACGTCCCTGTTGTAAGTGAACAATAAGCCTTAGTATATAATTAGCCTGGGATTTTAAGGGGTTAAGCAAAGTGAGTTACTTTTTCCTGTTTATGTTATGAATCCTAATAGTAATGCTAAAACACTAAAACAAGTTATGTATATTTTAGTTTATTTGGCTCTTAAGTAAAATGTAAGGTAAACACTGGCACTCAAAAAGCTGCTTCCTCGCATCACTTCTTTACTTGAAAAACATCTTAATGTGGGATTGATGTAGGATTTCTTCAGGCTATTTGTGTCGTCTTCAGGAATGACCTGGGTAATAAATTTTGTCAGGATTAAAATGTCCATTGCAGACTAATAAAGACAAGATAAACTGTGAAATACTACTGCTACTAAAAAGTCAGCTGTCATAACATGCTATGCCATTTCACCCCAGAAAGTGTTATGACTACCTAATGTCAACAAAAACCTGTCACTTGACATACAGTCAGGACCAAAAGTTTGAGACCACTAGTGAAAATGACTAATTACAAATTAGATTTTCAGCAGAACAATCTGAGTAAATTCCATAGTTTTTGCCCCTCTTTTGCTTTAATGACAGCATGCACCTGACAAAAGTCTCTGATAAGTAGATCAAATCCACCTGAGACTCATCAGAACACATGCTTAAATAGAAGGAATAAGACAAAAAAATCTAATCTTTTCACACAAAAGTTCAGTAAAAAAAAGTTGCTTAAATTTGAAGTGACATAAAAATAATGCGTAGTCGTAAACATTTCTTGTTCAACTTATTTGTTAGAATCTTCATTTTTATATATATATTTTTTCATAATTCTAAAATGTTCTGTTGTTTATTCACAGAATTATATAAAAACAACCCCAGATTTTCAATGTGGTCTCAGACTATGGCACCCCACTCTAGGTGTTATGTCAACTTCACACTGAAATTGACAAAAGCAGCCATTATGACAATTGTCGCTTATTGTAATAAGCCTGTTTAAATGCTTATATAGGTTTATGTCAGAGTATCATGGAAGGCTTGAGTGATTATCATGTAGCTGTTTGAAACTGATCTATCGTAAACTGTTTACTGATGTTGATGTTGACTCAATCCTTTGCCTTTCCAAGGCGTCATATCAAACTTCATGCGATCTAATACAGCAATGGAACAACCCATAAGATGACTCTGAGGTTTCTCCTTAATGGGAAATGATGAGGACTTATTAAAAACAGCTCCAAAATAAAGGGGCATTCCACAACACTCACACTCCTGAGAAGAGCGATGGCGGAACATGAAGCGCAGGTGAATCCTTGGCATCTCCTCCAGAGGGATCGCCACCTACAGGCAGGAGGACAAAATTACAGCATTCGCAAACTGGCCACTAACTGTGGTTAAGTATATATATTTGGTACAGCCATCACTCTTTCTTACTTTGACCACACTGTTTATATCATCAATTGCTGCGTTCTTTATCAAATGCTATGAAGCATTTATCTCAATTTAATTCACATCATTTTTATAATAATTTATTTCACTTTAACTGGTAAAGCATCTAAAAATAATTTCACATTTTACTGCCAGGATTTTCTGAAAAATGCTGAAATTTCCTGAAATATTGTCTGTTGATCATTTGAGGTTGATTGGAATCATGGCAATTAAAATGGTTGTTGTGATTGCTGTTATGTTTCGTCAAGGATTTGTTTTCATGCTTCTCTTCTTTGTGTTTATGTTGTGGCAAAGTCAAATTGCCACGCACTTGTCAACCTACTATAACTTCCTATCTCAGCTGTGCTTTCATTTCTGTTTTAAAGAGGTATTTCTCCTAAAATAAGAAAAGAACAGAGAAACAGCCCAACCTTGAAAGTTTCCATCCAGCGAGGTTGTTTAATCTGGTAGTAGATGACAGATCTGTATTCGCTTACCGGTTGATCCCCTGCTCCTAAACAGATAGCATTCTGAAGAGGAAGATCAAGAAGAAGTAGTAGTAGAATTTCTCAGATGTGAAGCACAACTGTACTGAATTTTCCAGCACAGAGCATGTGTGAGCACATGTTCAGTAGAGTGTTTATTTAATATCACACCGACTGACTCTGTGTTCTCTCTGCTTCTGATAGATAAACACACACACACACACACACACACACACACACACACACACACACACCTAAAAGCAATTTATATCTGAAAGATGATGACAGAGATTGCAACAGTGATCACTGACTTCTATCTAAAAATCTGAGAAGCTCGATCCTCCAAAGCCGTTCACTCAAAGCATCGGAGTAGATCTGAACTGCATTATAGTGGAAAGCTCCACTATAAATCCACTATACTATTTTCATTTGAAAATATAGTAAAAGAAATAACTCCTTTCTGTTTCACTTTTAAGCAATAGTTTGGTAAAAACAATTTTCCTCTTACTTATGTAGTCAATCAGCCAGGTTTGACAGGGTTTGCTTCATTAGTTTTGCATTGAAGCTATAGGGCTAATGTTGTTAACGAGTGATACAACCTTAGGTACATGAACAAACCTTGTGCAAACTTCCTAAATCATCACAAACTCTTCTCATATGTATGTGGTATGCGTATGTGGTACGCGTATGTGGTTTCTGACACTATATGATATAGTCTGTAGATAATTATTATTTAAATAAAGTGAGACTGTGGCAAGCCTCAATTTTGTCTGTAATTTTGTCCTTTTTTATAGATAACAGGATGTCATACACTGTCAGAAACCACAGCAATTTTATTTGAATTTTCTTAACAACTCGACACATTCTGAGGTAAGTGTGTGATAACTCAGGCAGGCAGTTTGCATGATGCTAATTGGTTGTGTAAACTTCCATTACTTCTTACCTACATTAGCCTTGTAGCACCAATATAAATCTAAAGAAGCAAACTTCGGACAACGAGTATGTCTTGGCTGATCGATTCCATTTAGAATAAGGGAAATATCGTGAAAATCTGTGCAATTTTTTTTTGCCATCACTTTAAGTTTTAAGGTCCACCCACACTCACCGGCACAACCTTTCCCTCCTCATCGCACACTAGCATGATGACCTCCACGTTCTTTTGTGTTGTTTTGTTGTATTTGTCGAAATCTCCGGAGTGAAGTGTGAGGTAGATGTCATTGCGGATGTCTCCCGGCATGATTATCTCGGGAAAGCCCAGTTTTCGGGCCACCACTGTGCTTCGGTCCACTAGGTGGGGGTATTCTTTACGAATCTGGACAATATCACCCACCAGTGCCTTCATTGTTACCCACAGCCCTGCAAGGTGGATAAAGGAGGTACAATTGGATTGGAGAAAGGAATGAGAGACATATCAGAATAAATGGCCAATTAAAGCCATAAAGTGGGAACACTCCTCTACACAGTGTTTGTTCATAATGGGCAATGTTAACTATGCTGCACTGAAGTTACAGTTTACATATAATTTGCAAGTCTACTCAGGTCAGTACTTTTGCGCTAGCCATTCTTACACATCTGTCTCGAATTGTCCTTGATATTTATTGTGTTGTACAGTTGCAATATGTAGAAGATGTAGAAGTTTGGTCAAAATACATCAAATTACATGTTTTATTGCATTGCAGTGAAAATAAGTACACATCCTTTGGCCAGGGGTATTCAAACTTAATCATGACTGTATGTACTGCTGAGCTTAGTTTTATGCTATTCTGACAATTACTGTAATGCATTTTTGTTTTGTACTGCATAGTCTCATATTTGCAGATGGTTGAAACAGTAATGGGGGGGTGATACGGCAAAAATACAACATCAAAGCATATTTTTAGACATTTTCATGATACAAAATATGTATCACATATATTCACTATGTACTTTTTCTGAGGTTTGATAAGTTGGAACACAGAAACAACCAGCAGTACTACATTTAAAAATATTCTCAAACATTTTAAACACAATTATTTCTATTTCTATTGCTCTGTATCTGGTCAGGGCAGTAGAAAAGGCCTCTTCCTTGAATATGTGGTGTGTATACAGTCCATCATTTCTGATCCTGAGCAGCCAATCGTGGATGCAAACAAAGGCCAATTCAACCCCACTCAATACAATATAAAGGAAAAAATGGGTTCATATAGTTTATATAACTGAACTGCATCCAACCATTTCTGTCCCCACTCTCTCGATTTCTCTCTCTCTCTTCTCACCACTAGCTGGTGTTAATGAAGCTATAAACCTTAGCTTTTCACTCTCTGAGGCAAGTCATTAGAAACCAGACCCTTGCTCCCTCACTGTCTGAAAGAAGGCTTATTGGATGCTGTGGTATAATAAACCTTTAGCAGAGAGAAATAACACCACTGTACTGCACTGTAAGGGAGAAATAACAGGAGCACTTTATCGTACCCTGGCCTCCGCTGTCTCCTCTGGAGGCCGTCACCTTGTTCAGGAGTGTGTGGAGAAAGTCATTCTCAGCCAAGACCCTACAATATGCACACGTAGGAGAAGGGAAAAGACAATGAGGTGAGTCGCTTCGCAAGATCAACAATACTAAACTAAATAAGTGACAGGCAGTAGACAAGGGAAAGATAAAGGAAGTGTCTGGTGATTGAGGTGTGAGAAATAAGAAAATAGCAAAAGGGAGAGAAGAGAAGAGAAGAGAAGAGAAGAGAAGAGAAGAGAAGAGAAGAGAAGAGAAGAGAAGACTTACGGATGAACAGGGATGAAGTATTGCTTTTCTTCATCACATTCCATCTTTCCTTTGATGATGTCACTGATGTCCATCACTAGCAAGGAAACAACAGTGATGGCTTCAAATTCAACTAATAACTTTTCAGACAGCCAAACAAGCTGCATCCTAGCTGTATATGACACTCAACTAAAAAACATATAAAAACACGCTAACTTAGATGGTGACTGTATGCTAAGCTATGTTATGGCTTACAGATCCAAACAAATGCAAATACAGGTGTTTAATTTAAACTTACAAACTAGACCACAAAAACATGATTAATAATCACACTAAAACCACATTTGAACTGCTCTAATTGAACTGCCTTTGCAGCGAGATCTTCCAGTTTTAACAGCTGTCCATCAGACATCTACCTGCAACCCCAAATGGTCTGCGCAGTCCTGTGGTAAATTTCTTAGTGCTGGTGTCTTTCAAGTCCATTCTCCCAACACGCACAATCTGACATATCAGATAAATCTTCTCTCTGTTCAAGTCTTTGTTGCCTAAATCCTACAGAGAGAAAATGAGTGACAATTATACTCTATTAGTGTCTTAGAAGGTGTATGGTTGCCATTTTGTCTTCAAACAAAACTTTTACTGCTATTTAATAGTTAACACAAAATATTTGATGCTATGAGTGTGATAATGGTCCCCTCTAGTGTTCACTTACAGTAAACACCACCTTCAGGTTGTTCAGCATCTCGACATCTTTAGGAAAACCTTTATCCCCCCATCTTACCAGATAGTTCTCACTGCAGTAAGAAAGAGAGACTGTTACAAATTGTTTGCTTTTTTCCTGATGTTCCTTCTTAAACAGTTGAACACTAGATTAAAAATCATTATGCACATAGCTTATCAGATTTGCTGGAGACTTTTGCCTGTTCCATCTTCACAAACTTCAGAGATACGAACGAAATGAAATATTTAACTAAATCCAAAACTGTCTTCAACTATTCTGATGCTATATTGTTGCCATATTGTCTACTCTGATTGGACTTCATTCTGAAATATGAAAGTGAACATTTTCATTTTTCAAATGCAATGATGGAGCTGGACTACAAAATTATTTCATCAAGATCTACTGTTGAAACATTACTATGGAACGCACCTGATGATCATTTGTTTGAGGGGGTCGTACAGAGACATGAAAAGTTCAGATTCTTCTCCAATGCGACAGACAAAATTGCGTACAAAGACGTAGAGGCTGTGCGTGGGTGAGGACTGGATTCGTGCTGAGACTCCAGAATGATCCATCTGGACATTAGACTATAATAGTGAAACATAAGGATCCATGTGAGATACAGTTGTTTAGATTAAAATCACTCCAACAATCATCTGACTCAGCCACATTAATCATTGCCTGATTAGGCTGTGATTTGCTCCAGCTTAGCTCCGGTTCAGACTCATCAACATGGCACTGCTGTAATTAGAAAACCTCTTGAAAATGGCAACTGACTTTGTGCGAATACTTCATGTTGAATGGACCAAAATATACACATTATTTTCAGGTTTTTCAAATTTAGTTTGCCAATTTCATGTTTGTAAATCTAGTTTAGAATTCTCCACTATAACATTCTAAATATAGTTACCAATTTTCAACATTAAGCAACCAAGTTGTTAGAAATATCTGTTCTTTCTTCCTGACCTGCTCTTCTTTGATACGCTCCGAGATGGTTGCTGTGGCATCCTCATGAGCTCTAAACAAGCTGATAACACTGGCGTTATCAGGGTCCAGAATGTTCCCATTAACATCCCTTACTACTAGATCCAACTCCAGGATCCTGCACACAGGGAGAGACAGAGATAGAGAGAGGAAGACCAAGTCATCAATCCTGTTCTTCATACCAAGATGATGTGTGCTACACACTATATCCATGAATGTTCTTATCCAAACATTTTCATACTTAATTGAACAATATATGTGAAAATAAAGCATTCAAAAAGTTCAAAAGAAGGCCCGTTGTCCCAGACTTTTAAGAGGCAGTGTACATCACTAACACCGAGCAAGCCTCAGACATGGTCCAACTCATCAGCTCATTTGCAAGCCCTTCCAGAGTTGAAGTGGAAGTGTCAGAGCAGGAAAACACAAAAATGCGGAGGATGGTAGGTACTCCAGGAACAAGTTGGGAAACTGTGCCCTACACACATCCACCACATACATTTAAGTCGGTGCATCTAACTGTAACTTCAGTGAACAAAAAAAAAATAGGACAATTAGGACATTAGGACAATTTTGTTCCTGACACAATAGGTTAGCCATGTTTATCTATGATTTTGCTACAAAATCAGGATATATTTGTCTTAAAAATGTACAAAAACAAGTGTAAAAACAAACATATGCACGCACACAAATTCATACACGCAGACACACTCACATATACACACATACACACAGAACCATTTGTTTATGGCTTTATGAATTTGGTGGGGGGCAGAAGGGGTTAGAGGGGGGTTTAGAGGCGTACTCATTTGCAGTGGATTTCACTCCAATACAGCAAAAAATCCCCAGACATGTACCTTTGTTATGAAACTAATGAGGAACTACCAGTTCTCCCATTGATTTGGACGGAAACTTTTATTTTCTCAAGACCCCTGCTACTTTACCAAAGCCTGATCTAGTGGAAGGACACATGCTTCTTTTGAACTCCCCTGAGTGTCAAGAACAACCACTGAATAAGATATCAAACAATAAGTCTCACCTAAATATCACAGGTAATTAGGTATATTCATCTAATATATATAAAGACAGAGCGCACTGCCATATTTACAAAACATAAACCATAAAAAACAAATAACAACAGTGCTTACACACATAAACTAGATTACTAAATTCAAACAATAAATTACTTATTCAAACATTGTGGATATAACTTAACCCCTTGAACCTGAGAGTTAAAATTCAGTTATTAGTATTAGCATTTAGTATTCAGTAACTACTATGAATTATTCAGTACTATGAAACTAACATGTAAGTTATGCAGCTATGAGGGATTAATTGAAGTGTATTGATGAATTCAGACCTTTAGGGTCAAGGACTTAAACCACCACTATGACTTTAACAGTTGATTGGACAGAGACAGAAAAAGAGATGACAGAGGTGAAGTACTTATTTCCATAGTCGATTTTAGACGTGACTTTCTGTTTGAGTTCCTTAAACTCGTCGCCAGGCAATGTGCCAGAGAGCAGCTGAGAGCGCCATTCCATCAGGTCCCACATCAAACCCTGCACCTGCTTAAAACGCTCCTTCTTATTCACCTACAGTCAGAAACAGAGTCACTCACTTGTCAGAAGGTAAATACATGATTTAACATAAGTTAACATTAACACCAAGACAGCCATATCACACATACGCTAATTACCTTATAGAACACACAAGTACATTTATTCCAGGCACATGTAGTCTAGGGGTGTACATTTCTGTCCTCACAATGAGCCTGATGGAGTTTTTAAAACGATTTATGCTTTCACATCCAAATACACACACAAACAAACAAGCGTAAATGTAGTACCACAAACAGCTGTTTCCAGATGCTGCCCCATTCTCTCAATGTGGTGGTAACCTCCTTAACTAGAGGCATCTCTGCAGAGGTCACAACCTCTTCATTCCTACGGAAAGAAAGAAAGAAGAAAATAGTAAGAGAACTGTGCCCTGGAAGATGCAAACAGAGAAAGTGAAATCATTAATGAATGAATGTAGGAAATCACTCACCCCCTTTTTTCAATGATAACCTCCTTAAGCTCAATAAAGCTTGCAGGAAAGGCCCCCTGCAGGACAGAAACCACGTTACAGAAGTTTTAATTCAAATGTAAGACAAGAAGATAGAGGAACAAGCACAGGACATGAACAGAAAGTGAGAGAATCCGAAATACAAGCAAACTTTCACTTACTTTCTTATCCTTGTTCCGGGTTAAGTAGCCCTTATACCAGCCTGAAATAACAACAGCAGCATTTTCTTTACAGCTAAAAGTAAATGTGTGCTTGTACAAGTGTAACCTATCTATTCCATAATGTGGGAAAATAATTGAGTATTTTTTTATTTGTTTGTTTTCTATCCTTTAATTTATGTCACTGATTGTTGAAAAGTTCATTCAGAGGGAAAAATACATCATTTTCCTTTTCAGTTTTAGGACACTTCATGCTGAGGCTGACACTTTGTTGGCCTGAATTTGGTTCATAGCAGCTGATCATTTAGTATAAAAACCTTAAAATGTCAAGTGCAAAGCGGTTCAGTAGAACAAATTAGCAAAGCTAAGCGATGCTTAGCCTCTTTTTCGGGGTCAGAACAGAAGGCCCGTGGGCTCTAAATAGCAGGATTTATGATACTAAACATGACTAATCAGACAGTATTTAAAACAGGCAGTCCTAGTTAGCATTCCCTGCTATTCCTGCATTTCACCCAAGTCTAATTGTGACTCATTATTGGAGTTACACTTTTTGTTGCTGTAAGTTACAACATCAACATATCATGCTAAATGCTAAAACTGCTAAAGTGTTCTCATTGCAACTTTTAGCACCACTATGAACTCAAACTCCAAAATCCCACAGTTCCAAAGTCCTACCTTCACACGCCTCCTGTATTTGCACTGTTTCACCAACGACCAGAGAAAGCTGCCTCTCTTCTTTGGCTGTGAAATTCCACTTGACTACAAAAATAGGAAAACGAGAAAAAATGACTTTTAAAATCATATTAATGCATCAGCTGAGTAAACACTCACACAAACCCACACTCACAGCCTCTAAAGCGTCTCATAGCTCATAAAATTATTAGCCAGTGATGAGAATGCACAGGCCAGTCACTATCCATTATTTAGGTAATAGCAATTATAAAAATAGACTTAGCTGAACAACAGTGAATCGTTCAAAGACTAATGATAAATATATTATTGGAAGATGATCAATTAGGAAGCCTTCAAAAAGTGTTAAGAAATATTTTTAAAAAATTAAACAACATTATCATCACGCAAATTGCCAACTAATAATCGCCAAATTAAAGAGTATAAAAGTATAAAATTTTCTTTTGATACTTTGGCTCGCTGTGGTTTTACAGTGGTCCTTTCAAAGTGACCTCTCGTAAAAAACAGAACCAGTTTTTCATACAAATAATGGACAAAACAACAGAAGAAAGGAAAAAATAACAAAATGCACTCATAACACACAGGCAGGTTAAAAAAAGGAAAGAAAGAAAAGAGCACACCAGGCTCCAGTTAACATATAGTTGAAATTTGACATTTGAATAACAAAAAGAAAGAAATGATTTTACCCCAGATGGCTGTACTACTTATCTGAGAGTTTGCTATATATCGATAAATCTGTTCAAATTGTCATGTAGAGAGAATGTCAGAAAGCTAAATACCTTCTCAAACCTCCACAGATCTTGAGGAGATGCAGGATTTAAAAACAGTGCTATATATATATTGCTATAGCTATATAACAATATTCTGTTTATGTTTATTTACCATATCCACTGCTATAACACACTGAACAGGTGCATATTATACTCAATTAAAGCAACTGCTTCATCCTTAACCTCTCTCCAGTGTTTCTGTGTTGCTGTCTACAATGCAGCTAGGTACACTTAAGAGTGTTTCGAATGACTGATTTCCAGCAATCATCATCTTTACCGCATTTATTGTTATTATTTTTATTAAATAACAATGTTTAACTGATTAATAGTTACAGCCCTAATGCACATTAGCCTACACATGCACAGACTATCAACACAATACACACACTCCAACGCTCATTACATTATATGTTAGCCTATGCTAACACACGTTCAAAACAGTTTTTTTCCATTGACCTTAACATCATGCTCTGTCTCCAAAGAACATCTAGTAAAAAAATAGTTATTGAATCTTCCTGTTTGTCTGTGCACATTACAAGTTCTCAGAAGAAGGTGCTTTGATACAGGCCCAATCCCATTTCACCCCTTGCCCCTACCACTTAGCCCTCTGTTTTGCGCGTTCACGTCTAGAGTAAGGGTGTCCCAATTTTTGTTGAGATAGACGGGGTAGGGCGAAGTGTTAGGGCTAAAAGGCCCTCCAAACAGAGATTTTTCAGAGGCATACTCCAAACGGAGTGTTATGAAAAAAAAGAATAACCGGCAAGATGGCTGCGCGAGCGACCGAAGAACCCAGAAATGTGAGAATTTTCTTCGTTAAAAAATTACGATAACTATTGTATTATCTTGGTTTAATGTCGTTTCAATGTATAATGTTGGTTTTCTTCGTAACAAGCACAAAAAAATCGCTAATAGCATGCTAATTTCTCGGTAGCTAGCTAACTTTCCCGTTCCACCTTAAACAGTCCGGCAGTATTGACGCCAGGAGTGCCAGAATGTAACTGCTGCACCATTTAAGGTGGAACGGGAAAATTCGAATAAGAAGCTAGCGAACAGATGACTTCAGCTTCGTATCACCAAATAATTGGAGTGGGGGATAATAAATAATTGTCTTATCCCCCTCTTTGAAAGCATTTGATGCGCTAAATGTAACTAAAGCCCAGCAGCGAGGTTGCTGAACCTCGCCCTTCATCACTGAAGACGCGCTGGGGTCGCCTGCAGAGCAGCGCTAGTAGGTTGTTAATGAAGCGATGTTTTGTTTTGTTTTTTTAATTGAGGGTTGTCCCATTTCGTAGGGCAGGTTTTTAACCACTACCCCTTGTAACTCAGTTCCAAGGGGTTAGGGTGACACTCGAAAACAAGGGGTAGGGGTAAAAAGAAGAAATGGGATTGGGCCACACTCGGTACAAGGGCTATGTGAAAAAATGGTCCTGTTACAGAATTACACATACAATACAATCATCCTTTTTTATATTTCTTCTTTATGTGTTATTGCGCCAACCTTACTACAGCGGGTCACCAAGAACACACAGTGTTCACCAAGAACACACAGTCCCTCAGTGTTTTTGTTGCCTGCCCTTCTTTACTGATGATACTTGTTAGACAAGGCAGACTAATCATAGCATTTATGCCTTATAATTGAACTGCATTGGATAGTTATTGTGCTTGTTTAACTCCTTTTAACTGGTCTATATTCTATACTCTCTGTAACGGGACTGTATGTTGCACTCATTAAAGTAGGCTGACCAGTTCAGCAGAGAACAACAGATTATCAATGCTGAATAAAAGCTGAATTTACCAGCTTTCAGTTTGCTCTTCTAAAGGTTTAAATGTCACTCTTTATCAAGTCAAGGAAACAGAATATTACTTTATGGGTAAGTTAAGCAAAAATCAAATTATATTTGGATTAAATATTAATTTTTGAATACATTTAAATATACAAAAATGATTGGTTCTATATTAAATTAATATATGTAGTGTTGGTACAACTAAGAACACACACTTTTTTTAGTAATATTTAAGATGGAATTTCAGTGGCTGTGTATACAGAAGTTTAAAAATATATTTCTAAAAAAAAATCAAATGTTGTGGGCCAACCTCACCCCTCCAACCCAAAGCTGTCCAACACTATGGTATACTTAACTTTACCCTTATAAGAATGTACACAAGCTAACAATGATATTCGTACTTAGGTTAGCTAGCTACTCTGTTTGAATGCCCAAATGAAACAGCTTACTGTCAGTTTTAATGTACCTCAGTATAGAACTCTGTCTGGATAACCATGATTTAGTTGTCCTGGCTGGCTAAATTCACAAATAATCAACATAAATGTTGAGGTTTAGTTTGCCAGACATATAATGGCATATTATATCATATTATCACTACAAGCTCTACAAACGCTCTACAAACGCCTAGGAAATTCATTAAACTGCAGCCTAGATGGACTAGCCTACAAGCCTGGCAATTAGCATTAGTAATTCCACAGCAGGTACAGCCACTCTGCTGACATTTCAAAAAGTGATAAGGACAAAATGGGGCATTTCACAAAGTGGTGGGGACATGTCCCCATTATCTTCTTCATTAATAATGCTTATGTGAAAATCAATGACCTAATGTTCCAAAAAATTGTGCAAACAACACCGTGACTCAGAGCTGGGGCCTTTTATAGCGACTTAACATTCAGACGGACACGAATGATGTCATTTCACAGCCCATATTAATCAAAACATGAGAACGCTGAACTAAGATCAGGTTTCACGGTTCATGCAGTCCTATTTGGTATTGTGTAAAATACATAAAATGATCCCAGATTCTTAGCATTCTCAATCTGAAGTTTGATCAATATGGGCCTAGGTGGTGGAGATTTTTTTTAATAATGTACTATTATAGGCTATTTTTAATGCTTATTTTGCTCATTTTGCCTGAACAGATATTAAAGAAAGAATTCTGCATAGCTGTTCTGAACTGGTAAGGCCCATATTCCTACTGCATTTCACCTGGAAAAGCAGATCCAATTTTGCCAGTCAAATTTCAGAAGACAGTTGTCCTCCTTTGTAGTGCTGTGTTAAGGTTTATAATATCAAAAAAATTAATTGAACCTCTAAACAAATCTAATATTTAAACAACGTGCCCAGTGTTACAAACAGTCTGTGCAGCGTTCTATAAACAGGCTTAAAGCCTGGACAGCAAACACATGTTTAATAGGTTTGAAATGGAAAGGATTTTTAACCTCAAGCCCTGTTCAAAGTCAGCCATGTGCTTGTTCGTTGCTAAGACCCAGTGCATTACTGAGAGTGACTGAGTGAGACCATGAAAACTAAAAATTTTACATCAAACAATAAAGCAAACCAAGTCAAGCGCATCAACCTGATCATAAAAAACACATCTGTGCATCATAAATGTGACAGAAATATAGTATCAGTGTGATATGACTTCCTTTGATTAGATCAACAACACAGATCAAACCACCAATCATCTACGTGCCTATATGAAGTTTTATTATTTGTGGTGTAAATAAAGTAAAAAACTAAATACCATGGTGAAACAGCATGTTTAGAGCATCAGCAATGCATATACACAGACACACACTGCATTTCTGCAGTTCTTAGTTCGTTGGCCTACTTCCTCTCTTGTCAACTTCCTTTGTGAGACCACATAAACACAGATACAAACGGCTATCAGGTCACCTGACAATATCAATAAAATAAAGCATTAAGAAAGAAATTTAAAATCTACTTTAACAGACCTTAGTAAAGTGGCACGCAATTTTCATAAAGTGCACCTAGGCTGCTTAATGGGTTGGCAAAGATTTGAAAAACACAACAGATTGGCTACACTATAGTGTTTCTTGCACCAAAACCCAACATGCAATTTCAAAATTTCACAAACCGATACTTTATTTCTCTTTAAACATGATCTGCCTTGAGTATCAAACTTTTAGCGTTACATTTCGCCATTTAAGTTCACTGCAAAAAAGTGTGCAACTACAGCAAGCAGTTTCATGCTAAAACAGTTACACAAAGTTAAATCTCACTGACCAATCAAAAGTGTTCTTTTACTTTTTCCACATTGCAAATGCTCATCTCAGTGCATGCAACAGACACCCTGAATTACACACATAGAAACCTACATGCATGGAGCTCTTCTGTAAAACCAATACTGCCAAGGCTACAATAGCATGTTACTTAAAATCTCTGTGTATTCATATGTAATGCTTTTAACTTCTGTCTCATTGTTTTTTATTATAATCTTTTAAAAACATAATGGTTTCTGAATCAATCTAGCAAGCAACACCTGCCCACATCCTGTGAAGCAGGAAGCAAAATGAGCGTCCACAGACTGTGCTCCGAGGGCCAAGACTGATATACACACATTGCTCAATCTATACACCCACAGCACTCAAACATATACACTCACACACATACCAACTCCATATCTCTCAGTGGTGGTCCTGGTCCACGGAGCCATGGTGAAGCAAGACAATGCTTTGCCCCTGTCTGCCTCTGGGTGCCTCGAGTTCCTCCTCGCTCTCTATTGCTCGGCCCTGTCTTTTTCTGGCGAGTGTGTGAGAGAGAACGAGAACGAGGTGCTCCTCCCTCTCTCTCTTCCTTCCTCTTTTCAATTCTACTCATTTGTACTCAGCTGCTTTTCTTCAAGAACCTCATTGCAACTTCTCTGATTGGACAGAAGCGTATACAAGATCATATTACTTGCATTATTTAAAATATGGTTGCCTAGCACTGTTTAATAGCATATTAACATAGGCTTCTCCAAGCCAGCCTTTCAGGGACCTAGGTCTAACTACCTGCCTCTAGAAGTCTAGAGCCTGGACTAGTTGGCTCACAGATCCTCGTCTGCTAGAACAGACAGCAACATCTCCTCATTACTGGAGCGCCTCACGGATGTGTGGCTTGCCTTCTGTGTTGTCCTTGTTCACTCACAAGGTAAATCCTGACCCTAGCTTCATCTCTGAAGATGACACCATTACCATTAGAACACAGCAATATGAACTGCAGGGGACAACAGATACAAAGTTCTGCATAGGAAGAAGGTTCTGTAACAGCAAAAAAAGATTTTTGACAATCTGGTTGTCAACAAAACTACTGAGCAGCTTGTTAGCATGGCGAGGCAGCCAAGGTCCTGTCTACATCAATATTGATGCTGTGGATAAGGGCAGTAACCTTATTGCTAATGGCTTCAGCTTGTTTTGCCAACCACACTGAGCCCAAAGCAAAGGGTACAGCCTATAGGCTACAGCAATTTAACAGCATTGTAGTTCTTTTGCAACTCCTTAAAATGAACGTGTGTGTATTAAAAACTAACAAACATAACAGCAAAGTTCTACATACTCTTTAAAGCAAGGTACTATCTGAACCTCTCCCTATAGTGGTTTAAATGCATAGCTAAAACTTGGAATACTAGCTACATCCCATGAACATACACTGGAATTCTGCTGATATATCAAAAACATCAGCATAACTCAACTGCTGAGCTGTAAACAAAGACCATCGGAGTGGTTTAATGTGAAACTGTAGAGAAACGTACAGACTTTACCAATGTCTTTACAGTGGTGATGACAAGAACCAGAGGTTGTGATGTCTACAATGCAAGTATAACCATTTTATTTACTATCCAAAACAACAAGTAAACATAGACTTTTATCTTCTACGTTTTAGCATGTAATGATAATGATAAAATAGTAGTAAATCTGCAAAAAAGTTTTATTTAGGTACTATTTTGCCATACAACACCAGCATGTACCACTACCATCAATATTTTTTTAGTTTTAGGCCAAAACCTTACCTCAAACAATCATAAAACAATGTCTCAGGCAGCAGGCAACATATTCATTACTGTTTCATGTAATTCTTAAGTGGTGCATCTTTTAGAGGCATTACACGCTTCAGACGCCTGGTTCCTTTCACCACCACTGTTAACAATTTTGACTTGGTTTCTCTAGAATGGCACTCTGAATGACTTTGTTTAACAGCCTTCTTACATGAACTGTGTCACATGGAGGCAGCGTGGGAAAATCAGGTTCGCACATCAAGGATACTTATGGGTTTATGAAAATAGTTACTAAAAGCAGTACTAAAAGCAGGTCAGCTGATAAATCCCTGTCTTTAAAGGGAGTGAATAGACATCCCTTATCTCCTCTCTGGTAATGCTGTGGATTACTCATAATTCCATTCATTTACAGCATAAACAGTAAGACTAAGGAGACATTGCTGCTCCTATTTATGCAGGAATGCAATTAGAATGTGAACACCTCCCTCTTATGGTTCTTAAGGGAAGTATCCAAGCACATGATTTCTGTTATGCAGCAAAAATGTAACAAAAGAAGGTAATTACTGCAGAATCTAATATACTGAACTGTTGCTCAACAAAGAGAAATGACCTGTGCAAGCCTAAAATAACATTACATTTTTTAGAAATTAGTATACAGGTGTTGTTTGAAATAATTGTGTTTGCCCTAATCTTATCAATGCCTAACTGTGACCATCATAAGGAAACACAAAACATAGAATGTGAATGCTATACATTAGGTAAACACTATATATCACTTTTCACTCTAAACAATCTTCAGCTCCCTATGATCACAAGATTTTTCACACTACAGCCCTGGACGGCAGAAGTCTGGCACAATTTTATGATTTCTCTACTAAACATGGCAATTAAATCATGGGTTTAATCAAATGTGAACAGGGAAATCACCAAACTGTACTGGACTCTGGCTTCAGGCCTAGAATTGGAGATGCCTGGTTTCGACTGGTGTCTGTATAACGTCATTTGGTGGAGTTCGAGGCACTGTTTACATGAGGTGAGCTTTGAAAAATATTCTAGCTTACATCACACTTCATTTATTCATACATAGTAAACAAACATGTGACAAGACTTTTGCACTGTTGAGCAATAACAGCAGCAAGACACAGGGTAACAAGTATCATATTAATGAACAATGTAAGTTATGGACACGTTACAGTTCCATGATTTCTGTCTTGCCTGTACATTTTATCCCTTAAACACATCTGTTTGTGGATACTTTATTTCATGACTCTCATAACTACAAAGTTACATATTAGTTTTTTAGTAGTTACTGAACAATCTTCATGATTAATGATTGAAAAATAAACCTAGGATTCATGGGGTTAACCTCAGTTTGACTACATGTGAACCTTACTCATGAGGGAAAGTATTAGCACTTGGAATGTGTTGGTAGTCATGTCTCTCTAGCTCACGGAGTGAAAAGCATTGTCACTGCAAAGCCGTTTTTGCTCTTTTGTCACACTTTTGTGCGAGCTTAAACAGTGTTCCGTTTTGCCCTAAAAGGATGAACTGTGTTCACGGAACAACCTGGTAGATGCAAATGTATGACAATCAAAATGATTAGGCAGACATTTTTCATATTCTATCACACTGTATCATATTATCTTTGCACTTATGACAGGGCTTGGAAATAAGGTCATGACCCAGTTTAACAGGAGCTGTAGTAATCAAGATACATATGCTCACCTTTTTTCTTAGGTAATCAAAAAAGTTGGCCTGCTTTCAGAAACACCAAACCCTTCATATGTGCATGAGAAAGCATTCTTATCAGATGTTTCAATGTGGACTTCATTTGATTGCACTACACTTTTAGGTGTATTAAAGGCACAAAACTATGCCAGTAAAATTACTATTAATTTGCTGCTAGATATTAATTTGTTTTGTATATAAATTTGTATGTTTTAAATTTGTTTTATCAAATGAAAATGAATATTTGAGAGGCCACTATAGATGCTCACTTTATCTTTCGCTAGCATTTAACTACATATTTATTAAAGGCAACTGAAATTAGGCTCTATTAACCCTAAACCTATCTCTAACCTTAACGTCAACCCAAAACCTTAATCTAATCCTAAACCTAAACCGTTTGATAAACCTTAAATCATTGGGTTTTACCAGATAGTTTGTTAACAATTAAAGCACCTGCGGCTAATCTATAGGGAACTACCAAATAATGATTGATAAAGCATAATAAAGTATGACCAAAAAGGGTTAAATATTTAATTAATGGATATTTAAATACAGTTTTTTCTTAAATCTAAATTATAATGTAATGAATAGGTCAAAATGATATTGGTTTGGTGACAAAGTTCAGAAATGTGTCCTAACCACCAGAGGCTGCTAGAGGCACAGAACACAAGAAACATGTACCACTGTTTGTTTAACTTTGAATGTTTCTTGGCAGAACGAGCTCATGGATCAGCCTGTCAAAGTGCTGCAGTGCGAGTCAGTCTGACGCAGTGGTCTAGAACAATCCACCCACACAAGCCCTACATAACATGTAACAACTACCATCTCAGGAAATAACCTGCATACTTCCCAAAGCTTTTACAGACAGGCTAAGGTTAGTATTACATATTCACTGAAAAATGTAATGCTAACTTAGTGTTACTTGATTCAAAGGTATACATCATTTCAGCATGAATACATAATATTACGTCCACATTATTTTAGTTTTTCCCCTGTTGTTTATTTACTTTTGCCCAGTAACAGTGTTGATGAAATGTACTTTCTTCATGTTGAAGTGATCATATAAATGTGTTATGTCGTTCACTTTTTTCAGACGCACACATGTTCCCTGCTAGTGCAGTCAAAGTGACCCCATAGCGTGAGCATGTGTTTGACAGTGATAAACATCAGCGATATCAGCAGAACATTAGGCATAAGCTGCAAGGAGAAAGATGGGAGGAGTTCACATATGGCTGCCCACCAGAACTAAAAACTAGCACACTAAGATTAGACACTGATACTAAAAAAGGAAGTATGTGTCTGTGTGAACTGCAAGGCTGATGTGGAAAAAAAGACACACATATGAAGAATCATGCAGTGTTATGGCTTCTGTGGTGTACTAGACCACAGTTTAAATGCTCTTACTGACTGAAACCTTCAGGAAATTCCCTGGTGTCAACAGCTGTATTTTCAAAATATAAACTGAAAAGAGAAAGATTAATACTATTTCTTACAGTGCTGAGAACCAGAATGTCAGATCAGCTGTAAATTGACAGAAAATAAAGTTATTAGCAGTTATTACACTACTAGTAGAATAAGACAACATAATTATCAGTTGTCTTTATAATCATAGATGTGTCTGGAGATGCTTATATTACAAATCAGTCATCTTTCAACAGCATCAGTGATATTTTTCTGAGGCCGTCTAAACAAAGAACAAAAAATTGTGAGTCAGCTCCGCGTTGAGAGAATAACAGCGTTGATGGGGCAAAAGAGAAAATCTGTGTTTTTGTTCCAAATGGATCCACTCTCAGTCTTCATCCCATTACAGTGCTTTTATCTACAGAATGAGGGAAAAAAAGAGACAAAGACAGACAAGGAGAGAGAGCAAAAGAAGAAAAACAAAAACATAGGGTCATAACTTGAAAAAGAGAGCCATCGTAACTAACTCCATACAAAATTACAGAGAAAGAGAGAGAGAGAGAGAGAGAGAGAGAGAGAGAGACACCAAAACAATCCTAATTATTATGAAACACTTGACTGGAAATACAAATTAGAAAATTATCTACTTTAACTGAAAAACACAAAACAAAGGCAAATCCTAATAGAATACAGAATGAGTGACCACATTCTGGCCACTGAGTTTGAAAAAATTGAAAATCATTTTGTTCTTTCATGTTCAGAATACTATACCTTCAGAGATGCCTTTCTGCCAAAATTTACAGGACAAAAACCTGATCTTCTCTAAACTGACAGATACTTAAAGATATGTTTGGGAGAAAATGTAAACAACAGAATTAGCAGAACAACATGTTCATAAGAACCACAGAATCAGAAAAAAACATGATAGCATATTTACAGTTATCTAATTGTTTTTTTTCTGATCTGACATTTCCTCATGTTTACCTTTGTGTCTGCCCCATTTTATTCTTTGTTGCACGCCCATATTCTTCTTTTTTCTTTTCCTCTTCTTGTTAATTAGTTATTTCACAAACATTATTATAAGTTAATGTCAAACTTTATAGTTTTCTTTTAATTACTTCTCCTTATGAACTTCTTGTATTCATTTACATATTTATAATAACTCAAAAGAACATGCACAAAACATGGCAACACAGGTCTTCTATCCTGTCATGCCGATAAAGCATATTTGACTTCATTTGAGAGAGAGCAAGCAAAAAAGAGAGGGAGGAGAGTGACAGTTAGCCACTGTGGTTCTCTTTCCTAGACCGTTTCTCTCTCTTTCACTCATCCACTCACTCACTTTCTGTCTTTCTCTCTCCTTCTTTCTCTCACTCCCTGTCTCTCTGCCTCTCCTTCTCTTTTTTGCATGCTCTTACTCACTATCTGTCTCTCTCCCTCTCTTCCTATCTCACTCACTCTTTTTGTGTTTCTCAGTGTCTCTCTCTCTCTCTCTCTGTCTCCCATGTAAATACACTGACATGCGCGCCTACTTGAAAGCATACCAGTTAGCCATGTGATTGGCTGAGAGAAGGAGTGTGTGAGTGAGCAAGGGAGAGAGAGAGGGAGAGAGAGAGGAAGAAAGAGAGTGAGAGAACGAATGTGTCAAAGAAATGGAGGTCACCTAGGGTAAGTCTGTGGCACTGCTGAACTACTGCTATTCTGATCTAAAAACCATTTTTAGTGTGATCGGTGTATCATATAAACCAATGCAGAATTGTTACGGGACAGAAATTGGCAAAGAACTATATTTCTAAAGCTAATCCAGCTGTTTACAGATGAAGAATCAAAACCTGGAACACACTGTGGAAACATTTAGGAAATATTCTCTGACTACATTTCTTGCTTGAGTGTTAATGGACAGCAATGGCTATGTGTTCATGTGAGTTGTGTTTTCTCATGCATTGTAGATTTATCATGTGTTTTGCTGTCGTACTAAATGCTCAACTGGTGGTAAAGAAGTAAATGAAACCTAACGAGAGACTGAGATAAAAATAAGAGCGGTGCAGGATGTTGCAAACACCTTCCTCTTGAACTTTTTTCCCCGTTGGTGCTAGCACGCGGGTGTGTGCAATCTTGGAAAAGTGCTGGAAAATAGAGGTCATTATTCTGTATGCATTTGCGAGTGTGTGTGTGTCTGTGTGCGTTTGTGCATGTGTGCACATGTGTATGCTTAAGCAACTTTGGAAAATATGTTAATGCGCATTCAAGTAGAGAAAGTGTACAAAGTCCACTGGCTCGTAATTAAGAGTGCATGTGTGAGTGAGGACGCAAGAGAAAGAGACCGAGCTAGTGAGAAACACAAAAAGGAGAAAGATTCTTTGAAGCATGTATGTATGTTTATGTGTTATATCCCCTCTCTCTTTCACACCTCATTATCATTCTGCAGTGACACATGTACACACACAGACCACCACGCTATTACGGAAGATGCAGTTACCTAGCAACATAACACCCTTGTGGCCAGACTGGACAGACTAACTGCAAAGATGCTGAAAAACCCGACTGACAGTAAAACAGATTTCACACCTGGAATCTGATTGTCTGATTGCCACAACAAAACTGTCAGCACCAGATCCTTCCCACAATACCTAGGTCTGATTTTCATCTGACAGCTCAAACAGAGAAAGCAAAGATTGCGAAAAAAAAAAAAGCCTAAGTATCTACAGACCAATCAATTTTTGGAGGAAAAACAGAGGAAAGTAAGTTCTGTGTGGTTACTGTACGTCATCACTGATAATAAATCATTCTAACAAACTGGTTCAAAGTCAGAGTTTGAAACATCTTTTGGACTTTTGACTGACTTTGAATGATCCTATGCTTTTTGTTTATTTTTATACTTGCGAACACAGCTTTGGACAGTTGTACACACAAGAAGAAGTTGACTTAATTGCAGAAAATGAGTTTCAGTAGCGACAATTTTTAAAGTTACATATTTTCAGATTCTGGGACACATTTACTTCTAAACAGTGGGATCTAACTGCTCACCATGTGGCCATGAGGGACAGGGAGGCGGTCTCACTTCCTGCTCTGGGTGCAGGAGTGTGACTAACATAAGGCTCCACCTATAGATTAAAACTCTTAGTGTTTCGGTAGTTATTGCAGTTCACTTTAAAAGATTTTAAAAAGATCTCTAAAAAAACATGGGACAGACACCTCTCAATACAAAGTACTTTATGCATGCTGATTTTTATATGTTCAGCTTATTTCTATCTCAGTCATTGCTTTGGGTTTAAATATATCACAACATAATCCTCATAAATAGCTGTGGTCTGAATACTTAATTTTTTTTTTAATAGATTTATTTTTTTACTGTGGGACTACAATCTGAGCTAATAGGATAGAATGGTCTATATGTGTGTATGGTAGACATGTAGCAATATTCAGTAACAAGTTACACCATAATTTTCAACACACAATATTGTTAATATTACTATGACAATTTGAAATACCATCTCTCCAGTTTTTTAGATATGCAGAGTAGCTCTGGTTTCACAATGCTGTCACCTTGTGATTCCATGATGAATGAAGGCTGCTGTTTTACTATCGTACATGTATTCTTATTTTTTTTTATTTTTTAACACAATGTATTGATAACATCATAAAAACTGTGATAGGCTTAGGTTTTTATCGTGACATTATTATTATTATTATTATTATTATTATTTTTTTTTATCTGCACATCCTTAGTGAATGGCAAGTTCAACTTTATATGGATAATTCTACCAAATTAGCTCAAACTGAAATACCAAGATAGAAAATACACGTAGTTACAATTATGTATTCAACCTTAGATATGAAGTGAAATATATACAAAATCATAATTTACTGAGTGTGTTTATTGGGAGAAGGCTGTCCAAAACTCCCTAATCCCTAAATTTCTGACTAAAAGCAGTGTTCAGTAATTTGTTTTAATGTTTTAATAACTTGTTTAATTTGCTGTCATTTAAAGCAAAAATATATTAGTCCAGGTCAGTTAAAAGGCAAATTATTTTTCTTTTGAACTCTTTTTGAGCGAATGCCATGAAATGATCGATATCTGAAGCAGTCAAATGAAAGGCAAGCTCTACAAACAGCAGCAGAGACACACTTTGTTTTGCAAATAACCCTTAGAGCTCTTCCAGTAACTGCAATAATGCGCTTGCTAGGTAACTCTGTGAAACACTGTATTAGAGCCCATATCATTGACATTTTTCATGGCTTTTTTGATACTCTTGATATGTTATATTTGATATTCATTCACACAATCCATACAGCCTGTATATGGAAACCAAGCTGCAAAAACAGCCCATTTTGAATTCAACAAGGTTGGCACGAAGGCACCAGACTAACATACCATTGTCATACTGACAGTAAAAATTGAGTACTGGATATGTTAAATCTGTTTTGAAAGGTTTTCAAGAGAATGTTGTGTATGGTAACTTCACACTTAATATCTGTAAAATATAGTCAAAAGCTCATGAATGTGCTAGTCATTCACACCAGCCGTAAACACAACAGTGTTTAATGCAGAATCTTTGAATTCATTTTAAAATAACCTATGTTTATCCATTAATGGTAATTTTTTTGTTTGTACCCCTATGGGACATACAATGTTTGAGCCAAGCTGCGTGGGTACTTATATCTAGCTTAAACAAGAACAACTAGAGCATGTGACAGATAACATTCAATAACATATTTTTACTTTGTATGTTGCAGTTTCACAGTTGGAGTATTTCACAATATGGCAACACATAATTTTCTGAGAAATAAATGTAACAGTTATGTTAATGAAAACATTAATATTTGAGCAATTCATTTTTTTTTTTACTTAAGAATGGATGACACTGTTTTTGGACGCTCCTGAAAAAAGTTAGTCTGGAGCTCTGTTTACAGGCCTGAAAACATTTACATATGCCACCTATTCAGCCTACAGCAGCCTAGCTTTCCCACTGACACTGATGTGAAAAGAAGTGCTGTTACTGCAGACAGTCTGTAGCGGTTACTGTACTCCAAACATGCAAAGGGAGTGGTCGGTGCTGGTGAGGATTTCGGTGTGGGCAGTATGTTCTACACATTTCAGCCCACATGAAATTAGTTGTGACTAATTTCATTTGTGCAGGGGTCACTCAATATTCAGAATTAAAGGCACAGCAACATATGCAGCATGTTTAATTCTAAGGGGAACAAAGAGGCTTAAAAGACTTAAAAATGTCTTGAAAATACTTGAAAATGGCTATGTAAAAAATTAACTACAAATGTTTTTGTTAGATAAAACCACAGCAATAAGAGGACCTTAGGAGGGAAAATATACAAGAAAATGTAGGATGTGGGCCCTTTAAATGTTCCAGGGATATAGTTAAAATTACAAATGAGCTGATCACAAACCAATCACATTTATTTGAACAGAGTCAATGACAGTGCTTGTCATAATATCCTGTTGCCCCTATAAACATTTTGTCTTCACTTATGGATCTTCTTTTATGACATTCATAAAAATCCATCGACAGTACAAGCAAAACAGCTGGGCTTTGACTAACTATACACCATACTTTTCTACATCCTACTTGTTTCCTCTCAAAGCTGCATCTTTTATTTTTAGCTGGAGCTCTCTGATGAATCAGTCAGGTCAGCCTTACTTCAACAGACAGGCCAGATCACATCAGACTGTTTACACAGACTGACGGCTTGTCATTATTTTCCAAAATGCAAATAATTGTGCAAATATGGACTGAAATAAATTCCACGTGTTAAGACTTTAAGGAAAAGAAGAGAGAGACATCAGATGCTCTGGAAAAATCAGATTTGACCAGCCTTCCATACAGATAGCAAGTTCAAATTAGGTTTGTTTTACAAGCCTATTTTTTCACTTAATCACATTTGTGCACTCAGACAAACTGCTTGCTTGTGAGCTTTTGAAATGCATACTAATGTGAACATAACTCAAAGGCATATAATTGGATTCCATGTGTTTAGCTTTCTGTTTAGCTCAGACAGGTATCAGAGATGTGAAATAAATATCCTTCAGGTTTGCCTGACTGTAAAAAGGGTTTCTTTCTTAAAGGCAATGGCTATACAGAGAACCAGGAGAACTCAATGCTTAAATGATTATTCACTTCATAAAGTGCTTATTTTTATCAATGCCCTTTCAATCATGCTATATAATTAGCAGTTACATGTTTTCTTTCTTTCTTATATTATTATTGCTATTAATGTTTATAACCTCCATGATACAGAACCTGTTGTTTACGTGTAGTTCACATGTAGATTTCACATAGATTTCATGTTCCATTTTGCTAGAGGTCATTGAATCTTTCTTTGTACTATCTAGAACCCTTTTTGCAAAGAGTGTGGCCAAAGATGCAAAGATACAAACCACATTCTTCACCAAAATCTGTTACACTGATGAAATGTTTACTCTCCCTTTGTAATTCCATCGAGTGCTTTCTCAAGGCCAGTGCAGATGGGTGATTAATTTCTCACATGAATTCATGTCACATACCTCTAAACCCCAAGTGGATGAGATGCTGGAGCAATCTTCCAGCATGTGCATCAGAGATGAGGACATACCTGTGGTAATAAGCCAGGGGCCAAAGATTATTAGGGCATGTGGAGTGTGAGAAAGAAAGAGAAAATGAGACAGATAATGA